TCCTTCCAACGAATTTATCCTTCGAAGCGACCGCATCGCCGTGTGTAATGTTCTGATTCACGCCATTGTTAAAATTCTTGGCACAAGGTGAACCGCAGCGTAAATATGAATGCATTAAATATTTTATTTCGTCTAAACTTAAATTTTATATTTAAATTACCAGTCCAAGCAAGCAAGCACTAGAACATCTGGCGTAAGATCTTAGAAAGCTTATCCTTCGCTTGGTGACCCAAGAAAGAAGACTCTTGGGGCTAGTATGTGGTACCAAAATTCTGCATTTGGGGCTGGACCCGCTGGCTTCCTGGAAGAAAGGTTGAAGAACCAAAGGAAGAAATTGGAGTTCAAGTCGGCCGTTGTGGTCGAAAATGTTGACGTTTGTACAACATCATGGGATTCTGAAAATGAAGATGGTATGCGCGAATAAAATACATATTTACATTTATTTTTGGACTAATTGCGTTATATTTTGAGCAGAAAATCCGGACCCGGATGAAAAGATATTGGAGTATCTTCGACAAAACCGAGGAGATGACGTTACTTCCAATATGAAAGCTACTGTTTTTATGCGGAGAACTGTCATCAGACATGAAATCAAGGACAATTTTGCCGGGTTTCTGAGACTTCCAGGAATTCTTCCGCGTATGTTTGACACTGAGGGAATGGTAAATTTAATTTGTTCTGCTTGAGTAAATCATTTTTTTTGAAGATTACCTATTTAATTTATAATACATAGATTGTACAAGACTTTAACTCAAGGCACCCCGGACTAAAGCTGGTTATCTATGATCGCTGGCCCAAGGCATCCAAGTTGCTGCTGAATTACGCGACTGAAAGTGGCGTAATTATATTAAGAAGCTAGACGTACATAAACCTATCTGCGATTTGACTGACAGTAGGCACATATTATTGTACACTAATTTTCTCGGGCATAATTATTACGCTATCTATAATTGTTTCACAGATGATGTCTCGTTAATGGCCTACGCCCTGCTGCCTTACATTATTCCATCATGTGCAAGAAAAATCGCAACCGGGGCTGAATCAGGAAATGAGTCGGAAGATGAAGTCAGCCAACCTAACCCAAAGCGACGCAAAACCCTTAAATTGCGAAAGGGAAGGAAAAACGCTAAAGAATCTGGCCGGTCTAGAACGGTCAAGGCATCGGATCTTGATTCCAGGAACAGCCTGATTATATTCCCCTCGGTAATAAATTAATATATGATTAGATACTTTCTAAACACACTCATAGATTGATAAAGTTTCAATATTTATTGCTTTGCAGAAAAATACACACGTCTCCAGCGTTTTGAGTGAAAATAAGAACCCCGCACCATTCATTCTCGGACTGGGATCGACTTTGGACCTCAAGATGGAATCGTTTTTTGTTATTTTGGATAAATTTGCGATTCCTTGTGGAGATAGTTTCATGCTGGCCTTGGATACATGCCTTAAAAGTTTCACAGTCTTCTATCTGCCACCTCCAGTCGAATCAAAAACTGTGTGGCAATTCCTGCAGTGCGGCATCGCTGGAAAACCTTGTGAAAATGAAATTCTGTCACCAGCCGTACAAGCCCTCATTGGACAAATAATGCCTAGGTTGTGATTTATTTAACGGCAGATACAAAATTATTTGTTGTTATTCAATTAATTTATTGATTTGGTTGATTAATAAATAACATAATTTTTAAATTCCTATACAATCCAATAGATTAAATCCATAAAGAAGATTTCTTATTTGCCGCATATTTATATTTATTAGAATAGCAGTTAAATTGACGCCAGCCTGGGTAATTTAAATCAACTGGAACTTAGTAAATGTAACCCTGTTCCGTATTGTAACCACAAGAATGCGTTTACGAGGAGTGGGTAAACTCCATGTGGTTCCGAGTAAACTACGTTACCCAGCCGCGTTCGAGTGCCCTGTAACCCTGTTCCGTGTGAAAGCACTTTTAATCCCACACAAGATTAGATTTTACTCCCACTGGCATTAAAACTTTTTACAGTGTATGTAAATTTGCGTTTCAAGTTGAAATGTCAGACCGTGCCTAAATCCTAACATAAGCCATCCATCAGCTATGTGATGTAAAGAATATGTAAGCGTGTCTGATCATGTCATGGCTAGCAGCTAAATAAAAATAATAAAATTGTTGGCTCAGGGTTTCGATTGGTAAATACCAAATTGATCAGGGCAGTGGGAACAAGTGGGAAAAAGGCACCCACTGAAATAGGCGGGAAATGGGAAAAATGGAAGAAATGGGAAGAATGGAAGAAATGGGAAAAATGGAAGAAATGGGAAAACCGGGGTATTTCGAAAAAACTTCTTTAAACCTTAATATTTTCGAAATCCGAGTTCATATTCGTATTCTCCATCAAATTCTGAGAAAAAAGTGGGTAATACGTTTAAAATCGAGTAATCTCTAAATCTTTTAATCTTTCATTGTATTGTAAAAATATGAAAAAAATTAAAACTGGTCAAAAGTGCCCGTATAGTATGTCAAAATTTTAAGAATGTCATGGAGATGACGAATGTGAAGTCGAATTCGGTAAATATAATTTTCCCAGCTTTTCCCACTTTTTCCCACCTGCCGTGGGGAAATATAGTTTTGGACGGGAAAAACGAAACCCTGATATAGGACTGCAAATGAGTTGAGTTGAGCTGAGTTGAGGGTTAACTCAACTTGACTTAATAAGAAAAATCGTCGACTCAAACTAAATATATAATAGTTCATCATATTTATTTTTCAAAATGCACCTAAAAACTCTACTAAACTCACCGAACTTACAGAAAAGTGTGAGAATATTAACATTAGAAAATAGTATCATGCAGAAAGGAGATTTCCACAAAACTGGACAATGCTTCGTTTTATTGCTTGATGTCGAGAACGGGTGAAATATTTCTAATTTATTTCGTGATAAAGAGATTAATTCTATGTGTGGGCTTATTAGACAATAACTTTGCTGGAATCCTGGATTATGTAAAACCTTTCTCGGTAAACATGGTTGTAAATTAATTAGCTAATTATACATCCAAACTTGATAAGCACAATAATTTGACCGCTATAAGATTACCAGGAACACCACACGCGTTCTGAACAATACTAATCGGATTATGCATTTTGAATAGTGCAACATTTACAAATTCCTCTGACCAATAATTGTGTCACGTCATTGGAAATAATGTATTTCGGGAGCTAACAAATTTAAAAAGGCTGCTGTCAAAGGCTATAATATTTAATACGACACTAATTATTTCCATAATTGTTGATTATATGTATACGTAAGTTAGTTTGTTTTTGGTATCCGCTTTTTGCATCAAACCTTTCACTAGATTCTTTGGATCCCGTTTGTCTGGCATTAAAGCCTCGTTAATTAGATAGATAATTAATGCTCTCAATTAATTTTTAATTTATTAGTTCTGCGAATATATGTATTATTCCCATTGATATGACACATTTATTGGTCATAGTACTTGGTAATTGTGGCCAGGGTTAGGAAAAACACTGGGTTTTACTTCGAAAACCACTACCCCGGGGTTTTACTGGGTTTTACTGGGTTTTGGGGTTTTACTGGGTTTTGGGGTTTTACTGGGTTTTACTGGGTTTTACTCAATGTTTGGGGTGAAATAATATAACTAACAACGTTACAGAAATTAGTTAAATTTCTGGATTTTATCAAGATTCACCATGAAACTTAAATGCAAAACGCCAGGAACACCCCGAATTACACTGACACGACAAAACTTGAGCTCAAGCTATCAATTGTGATTTTTAGACCACAAATGAAAATCCGAAATAAGCATCAAAGTCAAAGGAATATTCATCAGAGGACTTAATTCGAGCTAGATAAGAACTGAAAATTGATTTTATTGACTTATCTATTTAAATTTTAGACAAAACAGAGTAAAACCCTAGTAAAATCCAGTAAAACCCGAGTAAAACCCCTTTAACATAGTAAAACCCGCTGGGTTTTACTCATTTACAACCCAGTAAAACCCAGTAAAACCCCAAATCCCCAACCCAGTAAAACCCGGGGTCGGAATACCCTGATTGTGGCTCGATATATTTAAAAAAATCCAGGATTAGTTTTGTTCCCTGTGTGCGTGGTATGTATTCCTGGAAATTTTATAGCAATAATATTATTCTCCTTTTTAAGCAAATTACTGTTCTTTATAATTCGGATGAATAATGAAAGGTTTTGAGTTTGTGAAAGGTGGTTCGGTCGGTATTTTTGGCAATAAACTTTTGCACGTTAGGGTTTGGTTCGAATTGGAACAAGAGGAGTATTTTATTCAAGCGTACAGTCTCAACCACAACTCACGACTAACTGCTAAACATTCATGCCAAATGTATTAAAACTATGATAAGGCATAAATTGTTAATTCAGCTATTTTCCTATTTGCTAAATTATTGGACAGTTACTAAATTATTATGTAGCTTATTAGGCCAGTCGTCTTGTGCGTGGCGTGTTGGTTCAGTTATGCTGACTACGCACATTGTAGGTCTAATCACTAAACTGGTTTTGCTACGATGATCACTTGTACGCAGTGATCGTTAATGTCACTGCATGATCACGAATAACATAAATAATCCTAGATTAGCATTTTAGCGACTAATAGAATAACCTAGGCTATGCACTACATGTATGTACAAACAGGGACATCGCCACATTTTCATGCATTATCTACACGTTGACGAGAGAGGGTCTTAACAATAATTAGCCTTTTAATTTACAACCACTTTTACCCAGAAAGGTTTTGATCCATGATTCCAGCAAAGTTATTGTCTCATTAAATCCACACATTGAATAAATCTCTTTATCACACTATAACTTAGAAATATTTCATCCTTTCTCGCAATCAGAGCAATAAAACGAACCATTGTCCATTATCTCCTTTTTGCACGATACCACGGCGCAACGAGTCACAAGGTGGATATAAAAGGAACAGAAAATACTGAACTTTTAACCCAAAATTTCTACCGCAAAGCCAAACAATTTATACTATGGGGAAATTACCAACGATCCTTTTACTGTGCTTTGGGAGCACAGTTGCCACCCAAAATGGAACCCTTTTCGGTATATCGGTAAGCAGAACGATTATTAAAAAGCCCGCCTTAAACTTGTTTTATTTTATGGTTTCAAATACATAATTCTAAAAATTCCCAGCCTTTCGGACCCATAATCGGCGTGCCGGTTAGCCCTGCTCCTTCAAGATTTTGGCCCGGGGGACGCGTCGCGTACCAAATCGATGCTAGTTTCGATTCCACAGATCGTGCCACTTTGGCCGCTGCGATTGCCGACTATCACGCCAAGACGTGTATCCGGTGGGTCCAGGCGAACGAGGCGGCGCACGTGGTCTTCATCCGGAACAGGGCGGGAAGCGGGTGCGCCTCTACTGCTAGTTGTTACACAGGGGGGAGAACGACTGCGACATTTGAAACGTGTGTCAGTCGAGAAAAAATGGTTCATGAAATGGGCCACGTCCTATGTTTTGGCCATGAGCAGAATAGGAATGACAAAGCGGGGTGGATCTATGATTGTGGCACGGAAAAATATGAGCATTTGAACTTTGGTCATTTATACGACTATATGAGCATAATGCATTATGGGTGTTGGTCATGCATCGCCCCGACGAGGGAAGGGGTGTCTCTGGATCAGTGCGAGTCACGAGATGGTCTCTCCATCTTGGACGCGGAAAAGATTAATGACATGTACAACTGCGGGGGTGAGTTTGTAAATATCAAATCCGTAACAATTTTATAACGAAAATGTTCTACAAGAATCTCTGATTATTTTCCAGGCTGCCAATCCTACCGTTTCAGGTTCCCCCATATGCTCAGCGGCACCACAAACGTGGTCCTTGGCGGGTCAGAACCCTCCGGCGAGCCGTACTACGTCTGTCGGGCATTTGTCAAGGGGGAAATCGTGTCGGGCAAAAGCGTCGTGCGAGGAGGGGTTTGGAGTTGCTGGGTCCCTCACGGCGGGTCAGAGTATGGGGTCCCGAACCAGGAGGAATTTGAAGTGCTGACGAATCCCGCGAACGTAAATTTGCGCTGGGTCGCAGGTGGGGGTGGGGCCGTTCCAGGGAATGCGATTGCCTCGGGACGAACTGCGAATGGTGAACCGGTTTATGTTTCTCGATGTCGAGCAAATATTAACGGACAGTTGGTCAATATTCCGGGCAAGGTGTATAAAAGTCGGGCAGGAGAGGCGTTCTACCCATACGGCGGGGCGGAGGTGAAGTGCACCGTTTTCGATGTGCTGGTTTGTGGATGAGAATTTTAGGGACGTCATTACCGTAAATATTCTTGAGGATGAAATACACATAAATAAATCATCTTTAGAATAAATATTAAATTACGAATTGGAATACTCGGGACGAATTTTTTTCACACAAATTGCATTACTTGCATGACATTTCCTAACTCCAACATTTGTTCATGGACAAAATAAACCCTTGCAAACGCAAATATCCAAACGGTTAAAGCAAGTGGTACTAATAAGGTATTTTGAAAACATTTTTTTGTCCTGAAGATGTGAGGTTTAATTTGTGTGTGGGAGAAGTGAACACCTGACTGACAAGGGAACTTTGTATTGTTTTAACAGAGCTTTCAACGAATGAATAATGATTATATTTTGTAATAAAATTGTGGCAACAAATAATATTAGCTTGGCTTGCGAATTTCTTACTTCGATTTCCACATTAAACTATTTATAATACCTCTTTCCATTTTGATACTTCCCTGACGTTGTCAATGAGCCAGTTTACCACATGTTAAAATCTCGTACCGGTTTGCCAGCAGGGGGTTTCACCAAGGACGGCAAGCGTCCTGACGGGATGACGCTTGTGCCTTTGTCGAGGGGGAGGTCCCTGGTTTGGGACTTTACTTGCGCCGACACCTTCGGCCCATCTCACCTCCCCGATACCGTGCGACATCAGGGGGCAGCCGCCAGCAAGGCCGAGGACGCAAAGAGGAAGAAGTACGCCTTCCTGCTGGACCTTTTCGTCCCAGTTGCTATGGAAACGACTGGAGTATGGGGGCAGGAGGGGCTCGCCCTCATCCAACAAATTGGGCAAATTATTGCCTTCGCGACTGGACAGCTTAATGCTGTCAATTTTCTCCGCCAGCGAGTTTCCCGGGCCGCACAACAAGGGAATGTGGCGTCGATTTTGGGTACACTTCCTTCCGGAAAGGAATTGGAGGAGGTGTATGTTAATTGGGTCTCCACGGCTGCTTATCGCAAATAATATATGCACTGATAAAGTTTCACACTTTGTAAAGGTAGGAGTTTATTAATCAATCACGTCATAAATATCTTACGAAGGAATTGGAGATGAATTTGACTTATTTGTCATGATTAAAGGAAACTGAGATGGTACGGAGTCCTGAAACTATGGTAAATGGGGAAAGAATTTAGAGGAGAAGACGAATCTCAAGTCTGTCACGACTGACTTCCTTTTCTCCCCCATCTTTCCTTAAATGAATATTTTTAGTAAGAAAACCTTCCAAATGGGAGAGCTTAAATTAACTAAACTGTATCCTATAAATTACATAACTCTAACCTATCTCAACTAAAAAATCAAAGCCCCAATCTCGTCAACGTATATTATCGTCCCTCTAATGCATCGTTGGGATTTTGTTGGCTTCATCCTTCCCGCCATGGGTGTGAAAATATGCTTGAGCATTCCGTGGATCAGGTTAAGCGACGGGAGAGTATAAGGGTCTGAAAAGGAGAGGAGAGGGATTGGGGTGCAATAAAAAGTTCATTCCCTGAAAAGGTTTGTTTACGTTACGTAACACCTAATGTTAACTCGGGATTTACCACTACTTTTGCCGTCACTTTTCCATTTTACTTTTGATTTTGCAAATGTTAACTCCAACGGCAAAGCTAAAGTAAAACTTTGGCTTTGCCATAGATTTTACGTTGCCATTTGGGGTATTTTGACTCAACTTTCACTTTCACTTTGCCATTACTTTTATGTTACCTTTAAAAGTACATTGCGATTCTACTTTTAAGGCAAAGTGAAAGTAATTTTCACTAATTAAAAAAAAAGATTTTCATTTCGCTGTTTTATTGAAAATTAAAATAACGATGTGTAATTAATATGATTATTGCGATCTGTGAACTATACTTTAAATATTTGTAGCGGTATTCAGGTATAATTCTGGATCATTTCAAAGTTCTCGTATTAAATAAAGCGTCCAAAATCGGAAGGTTTTATTTAATACGAGAACTTTGAAATGATCCAGAATTATACCTGAATACCGCTACAAATATTTAAAGTATAAAAAAACCGGTTCTTGATTATTTTGGTTTTTTAATTTTGGTAAAACCGGTTTTCGATTCTACGCAAAAACGGTTTCAGTAAAAATTGTAAAACGTAATACAAAATTACATATGAACTTGGGAATAAGGTATTTCATAAAAATTAATTCTTATCTCCATTTTAAGAATTATTAAATCGATAGCCGGTTTTAGGGTGCGTAAAATTTACAAATTTTATAAATTTAACCGGTTTAACTGATTTTTTTGAAACTTGTAAACCGGTTTTCGGTTAAATCATTCTTAACATTGTAATATTAACTTCACCGAGTTAAAGAGAAAGGAAAAAGTGAAAGCATGGTGAAAGTAGTGGCTTTCACCTGAACTTAAAATTACCGATGGGAAAGTCATGGGAAAGTAAAGTGAAAGTTGATAGTAAAGAGAAAGTAAAAAGCATAAGTTAACATTAGGCGTAAGAGTTCGAGGAAGGACAGTGCTCGCAACCAAATTAAGATACTAAGATTCTTGACCCAGTTGATAAAGAACCGTTAAATTTTGAACAAACATAGCTAGTATATTATGATTCAAAAATTGGTGAAAGTAATACCTATAATTTTTTTCGGGTGGTAGTCCCTTTTTAGGGATGGACACGAAATTAAGACACCTCGATTGAGTCAGTTGTATTTTATTAGTCTGTATTGTTTTTTTTAAACGGGATAAATATTTATTTAAAGGAATTTCAACCCTTTATTTCGCTAAACTTTCAATAGATTTAAATACTATGAGATTATAAAACTATAAACTATGACTAAAAACACAGAATCATCACAGCATATAATCACGTTTCAAACTGTTTATGACAAAATTCCTATAATTACGGATATTCATTATTTTAGAACTAGTGGCATGGCTGCCGAGTCGAGTCAATGAGCTCACACCGCTGTATTTGTAGGCGAAGGTTACGCCTCCAACCACAGCATCATGAACGCGTTGCATAGCAACAATAAGAAAAATTAAAAAAATATTTTCTTAAAACTTATGATGATTACAAAATAATACTCACTTACGATAAATAATCAAAATAAAGAGTTAAATCATAAAATATAAAAATTTATAAAAATTCTATAAAGGCTAAGAAGGGAAGAAATTTACCGAGCCTAACCTTATACCTATTTTGCTGACCAGGCGTCCCCCCATAGGCCCAATAAATACTGAGGCTAGGAACGAAACCTTGAAGTGGACTTCTCGTCAGCGATATACTAATATGGAAGCCTTGGTGCGGTAGAATAAAGAGTTGTTCCCCGTCTAAAGTTTGTATGATTCTGGATTGAACTCTTAAATAGGGAAAATTTTGTTAGTATTTTTGCCCATTACGTACTTACAAGGGAAGGTCCCCGACTGCTTATCGTGTCCAGGGTACCCACTATGTTTTTTAGAATCTACTAGGACCCTAGACGAAGGATCCATTCATGTTTCCGTGTTAATCGCATATTTGGCGCCATGGCGTGGCGCCAAACTTAAAAATCTGCGTTTTCGACCAATTTCAAACCTCCATAACTTTTCTAGTTTCCGGGGGATTTTCAAAATCTTGGGCTTAAAATGATCACAAAGTTCAAAATTTTAAGAAATAAATGAAAAATGAAAAAATTTTATTTTTTGGTATTTTTTTGGCGAATCTCCAAGCGTAAGAAAATTCCAAAATTTTGACAAAAATTGAAACAATAAATTTTTTGAAAATTTTCATGGTATGCGAAAGTTGAACTCTTTTTAATGATTTTTGGAAATTTTTTTGAAAATCCGCCCAGGATTTCAAAAGTTATGGCGGTTTCAAAAATAAAAACATACAAATTTGGCGAATTTGGCGCCACGCCATGGCGCCAAATATGCGATTAACACGGAAACATGAATGGATCCGTCGTCTGGGGTCCTAGTAGATTCTAAAAAACATAGTGGGTACCCTGGACACGATAAGCAGTCGGGGACCTTCCCTTGTAAGAGAGAGATAAGACCTGCCCAGATTAAGTATAAATCTGGCAGGCAGTTCGTCCAAATTAAAATTATTTTCAAGGTATAAATATATTTTTAAAATTTTGTATACGAATTACGACCTTAGTTTCAAACGATGGTGGCTCTTCTTTGAAGGAGGACTTTACGCAGTTGCCATCGGGGGTAGAAATTAAGCACCATGCCTCACTTACTCTGACCACATAATTTAGTAAAATAGTCTGATATACACAATAATAAAATGTGTAATTTAGTCGAAAAGTGTCTTAATTTCGTGTCCACCCTAAGGATTTGATTTTTTTTAATTTTCGGATTGTTTTTGAAAAGTCAGTTTCTATCTACATATATATCGTATGCATATGTAATTTTGCATATTGTGTGAAAAAAATAAAAAAATTAGTGCATTATTTCTAGAGATATCGAAAATCGACTAAAGCGACTAAAGCCTGGTCAAGGAATTGGCACCCGAAATATCTAACATTTTCAAAAATTGGTACCTCATTTGCTGGATTGAGTAGCATATCGTATATTAATCGGTTTTAAAGTTATGACCCACACATGTAATACCACAAAAACGGAATTTCAATTATTTCCATGTTGGACCTGAGAAAGTGGTCCAGGGTAATTTTTTAAACCTTACCTTATTGATGTATTATTGTCCCATAATACTTATCAGAAATACAGAATACGATAAAACTTTATGGTCCAAAACCGACCATAAAGCAGCTTATTCTACGTTCCAAATACTAACGGAGTTGGCTAAATTTAGCTCCATAAGAAACCACCGTTTTTAACATGGCGCAGTATTTAGCCAACTCCGTTAGTATTTGGAACGTAGAATATTTACATTTATTTTAGGTTTGTTCAAAACTTTATTGAATCAAGTGTTCTTTTTCATATCTAAGGATTCTTTAATATTGTAAACTAGCTTGAAGATTTTAATCCTTAAAATTATTTAATTTTCTTTGAGTAATAAAAGAAAACCAGAATTTAAACATTGGCAAATAAATATTTAAGAAAAGAATATGTAAGTCTAGTTGATTAAATTTATTGATTTGGTATGGCTGGGAATAATCAATAAAT